ATGCAAAAAAGCATATTTTAGAAACATAGTCTAGTGCATATGTCTCATTCCGTGCAAAAGAAGAGTCCTCAACCAAACTAATATATAGAATCTTTGCCTTTCTGAACAAATCTGTAGAAATGATTATACTTATTAAATAAAAATCGTATCAATTTCAATGTATGTAACGCATATTTTTGTAGGTTTTCAGTCTAGCAGATCTTCAAAATTTTACCAGTACGTCTTCTTAAGAACTGGCTTACTAATTGAAAGTAAACCTGACTACCTACCTGGTAACATCTGGGAGCCACTGTGCAGTCAGACTGGGCCACTCCAGAGCGTGGGTCATGACCAGGTCATACAGAAACGGGGTGTTCTTCTTCCATATCTTGTACTCCTCATTGATGACTCTCTCTTCAACAGCATCATCAAATCCTTCTATATGACAAATACAGAAACATTAAATGGCAGATACAGAGACTAGTTTTTCTAAAAATACAAAATGTGTGGTTTACAATACAATTACAATGTTTTACAATACAGAAATTGGGGATCTGATATGTTTTTAAACACCCAAGCCCATCAAATTACATGTACATTCAAAACCTTGGTGCCAATACCTTAGATAATGAATGACAGTTTACAGAAAAAGAATGAAATGACAACTTGTTAATAAATTCAGAACACGTCTTATTGTAAGGATTTCCCTGCTGCACAACGAATATTCCACACTGACAACTATATATTCCGTTTATAATTATTCAGTAGGGAGTAATAATTTGTTCCAATACTCTTCTTCCCGAATTTTCTCAATACTTTGCCTACATCATTCTCCATTTCTCAGCATACAAGTGCAATTTATTAAAACTTTTTCATGACAATTTTATTATACTGTTTAATAAATGCCTCCGATTGTAACTTTTTCTTAGTGAAAAATCCATTGTTTAAAAAAAAAAAAAAACGTTCTCCTATTCTAGCCGGCTTCAAATCTAAGCTGAACTGGGCAAACCTGATTTCAACCATAAATGATATAAAGCTTCTGCTACAACTTATTTAAAACAAGCACTATAAGAAATAAGAATATAAAAATAACAAATACTGTTATAATTTACCGTCTTTATCTGTCATTGTTGAAATTTTGTTTCTTTTTGTTCCCCCAAATTACATGCGCACAACTCGCGCCAATTTATTTACTGCGAACCTTAAAATTTTAGAATTCCGATCCCGATTAAAAAAGGATCTTAGCATGAAGGGAAAGGAAAATGTATGAAGATTTAAATGTTTATTGCTGAATATGATGGAAATAACACGTAAATTAAATATTATCAGCATGTTACGTCAGAAAATTTCAGAAAAGATTTATGATTAATTGAGAAAAATAGAATAAAAACAACAAGTAAAAACAGATGAAAACGAGTTATTTAGGCGCATTCAGTTTTTTAAAATTCTTTTCATCACTCCTTTTCTGTCGAACTTGAATTAAAGCGGTTTGGTTTAATCCATGAATAAAAACGATAAACAGCTAAGACTAATTTATAAATGATATTTTTTTTAACTTCTTTTCAACAATTATAATCCATTAATAAGAATACGAGACAGTTTCTTGTTTCTGTTTTTGTTTGTTTTTGAACATTTCAAATGTCATACATACTACAGTGTATTTATAAATATGGCAGCCAAAACTATGTCATTTTATAAGTATTAAAAAATACATAAATTCTTTAAAGTTTGATATTTGTTGATTACAAAATATTTGCGCATGTTTTAGCTAATCGTTTGCAAAAAGTTGCTAATAGAATCATTATTTGTGAACAAAGTGCTTAGGATATTAAAGGCAGATACATTAAGGAGAACGCTTTTATGCCCCCGTAATCGAAGATACGAGGGCATATAGTTTTTGCCCTGCCCGTCCGTCTGTCTGTCTGTCTGTTTGTCCGCAAAAACTTTAACCCTGCCCATATGGAACTTTTGATTGGTTGGAGCTATGGCTTTCATGTTTCACATGTGTATTCCTTGTGACAAGACTTCTCTTTGGGTACTATCATATCTGACCTTTTGACCTTGGAGTTTGACCGATTTTTGCAAAATTTTATGAGACTTTAACCTTGGCTATAACTTTTAAACGGTTGAAGCCTGGAGTTTCAAACTTCACATGTATATTCCTTGTGACAAGACCTTCCTTTGGATACCAACGTCTTTGACCCTTTTATCTTGACCTTGGAGTTTGACCTACTGTTGAAAAAAAACTTTACCTTCGCCATAACTTTTGAACAGTTTGTGCTAGGTCTTTCATACTTCGCATGTGCACTCCTTGTGACAAGACCTTTCTTTGGATACCAACAACTTTGACCTTTTGACCTTGACCTTTGCAGTTTGATCTACTTTAATTTTGAGAATATTTAACCTTGGCCATAACTTTTGAACAGTTAGTGCTGGGGTTTTCATACTTCACATATGCATTCCTTGTGAGAAGACCATTCTTTAGATATCAACAACTTTGACCCTTTGACCTTGACCTTGGAGTTTGACCTAATTTTGAAAAACTTTAACCTTGGCCATAGCTTTTGAACAGTTGGTGTTAGGACTTTCATACTTCAAATGTATATTCCTTGTGACAAGACCTTCCTTTGGATACCGACAATTTTGGCATTGACCTTGACCTTGGAGTTTGACCTACTTTAAAAAATTTGAACATTGGCCATAAGATTTGAACGTTTGGTTCTAGGGCTTTGACAATTTCTATATGCAAGTACATGTAATTAAATATTGATATAAAACTCCCCTGACGCTCACAAGATATGTTATGTTCGGTATTAATTTTCATTTAATTAATAATTAATTAATTTGAATTAACGGCAATTAACTTTTTTATGGCTGTCCACCCAAATTTGCCACTTCTTTGTGGGTAGAATAGCTTTTTTCTGAAAAAAAAAATTGTTCAATATTTATTGTAAAACATTGCTTTGTGTCTGATTATTTTTGAATATTTTTTAACTTTCTTCTTCATGTTCTAAATTTGATTACGCCGAAAAAATATGAAAACTCTTTTAACTAAAGATTTCTGGTTAAAATGTTGGACAGCACTTCATTTTAAAGAGGCCCAGAAATTTGTATTTTAAACGCCCAGAATTTGTCACCCAGGGGTCTCAAAATCGTGAAATCCATTTTCCGTCGGGGGCTTCGTCCCCCTGAACCCACTACCAGGGCGCTGCCCTGGACCCGCTGGGGTCCTTCATCGGCCCCCAGACCCCTCGCCGCACACAGGGTAATTTGTGCCTATACTTCATTAAAGTTCTAGCTACGCCCCTGAAAGCCTAGGCCTGGACTTTAATATATCGTGGGGAATGGTTGTATAAAGTCAATGAAAGTGTTGAAAAGTCGTACGTTTTAATTGATGTTATTGAATTTACCATATTGGTTAATTTTTTTTATTTAGATTTTCTAAAAATTCCTAATAATAACTTAAATATAAGTAAATGGAACAAATATGAAAAACCGTTTTGTGAATTGTTGTTGAAGACATTGAATATCTCTGAAACATGTGTAAACTTTGTAAAAATATTCGGAGGAAAATTAGTTTGTTTGGGTTTTGAAAATATTGGTGCTCCGTGAAATCAACACAAAAACAACAAGATTGAATAATTTATCATTGTCATTTATTTGTTTTACGATTTATAAATATAAAATGGAATGCAGATTCCAAAAAGGGAACATGTCTATGGGATTTTTTCGAAATAAGATTAAAATAACTGTCTTTGTTTACAAAGTGTAATTTCTTAAAAAAAAAAAAAAAAAAAAAAAAAGGAACCCCCTGGAATTTGTAGAGTTATTTAATGTATATACTAAACCAACTAAAAGCCACGGTGACCTTGGACCCCTCCTAGAAAACGTGGATCCATGTAAGTTGATATGAAAAGTCATAGATATGAAGCATAAGATGTCAACCCCTCCCCTTCCCCCGCCGAAATAGGTTTTTTACGTTTAGGAAAGGAGTTTACGTTTTTGTTTGTTTGTTTGTTTTGTTTTGTTTTTTTTTTGTCAAGAAATTTCTGTGTTGGATTTTTTTTTATTGGGGTGGACCCCTCCTGTAAAAAAAAATCCTGGATCCGCGCCTGGTTTTATGAAAATTCATAAAATATCAATATAAATATGAAAATTTATTCAAATATGTGTGGCAGTTGGCAGTAAGCAGTGAGCAGTTGGCAGTAAGCAGTGAGCAGTTGGCAGTAAGCAGTTGGCTGTCGTATATGGAATTCCATAGCTAGCTGATCTTTATTTTAACCCAAATCATGCAAATGATCGCAATTAAAATTACTGAAGGGGTGTGTCTCACTGTTGTAGTCGCCCGCGTGGCGCAGTGGTTAGAGTGTTTGCTCTAGAGTCGCAGAGTAAGGGGTTGATTCTTACGTCGCGGGTTCGAATCCCGCTGTGGGACGTTGAGACCGGTCCTTCGGATGAGACCGTATAAACCGAGGTCCCGTGTCGCAGTAGGTGCTGGCACGAAAAAGATCCCTCACTGCTCAATGGCCCTAGGTGCCGAGTATAGGTCAAAACTTGCAGCTCTCCACCGGCAAGTGGTGGCGTCTTCATATGAGTGAAAAATTCTCGAGAGGGACGTTAAACAACAATAAACAAACAAACAAACTATATATCTTGCAATTATTCAACATATCAGACTATCTCCAATTATAAAAAAGGCGTATCTGAGATGACTATTTCAAAGATTTATAGTGATTATCGAACTTAATGTAAAAAAGCCATAACTGGATGATACAAATTTTATGGAGAGCCCCGCCCACTTTTTTTGATCGGGTTCGTAATTCCATCTAGGGGAGTAACGTGATGCTTCTGAAAAAACTTTATTTTGACGTTCTTCATAAAACGATTTACATTTTATCAATCTTCTTAAAATATCTTTTTATTATCAAGGCCAAGTAAAAAGAAAAATGATCAACAGAGGTGCAGAAATAAATCAGAATTAAATGCATCACGGGAAAATGTAATGTATTTTTCAAGATGGCGGAATATGGGAAGTTTACCACCGAGCAAATCATAATGAATATTTTTTTTGGATGTAACGTATCATAAGGAAATTCCTTTAAGACAAAAAGCATTTTGTTGTAAACTGAGTTCTCCAGAGTTGTAAATTTGGCATGGAATCACTAAAATTAACACCTCAAGAACAAACATTTTATGGAGAATGTTTCCAAACGTGTGATGTGGATGGAAATGCAAGAATAAGCAACAGTAGAGCGTCAAACTTGTTTATTTCTTCAGGACTTAGTACGGAAGTACTTCTTCAGGTACGTCTTGGAGGAGTTCTATTGATTAACTATACAGCAAGAAATAGCATCTGGGTCACATGATCCAGTGTGTAGACATTTTAATGTGTCTTAATCATGTTAATAGGAATTATAAATGATAGTAATTTTCATAAATTTTGATAGAGCTCAGTTTTGGGTTTTTTTTGTTCGAAAATATACATACACATTGTATACCTTTTCACAAGGGGTGCAAATAAGCGAAATAACCTGTCTTCAGATGATTAAACATTTTTTATTATTATACTTTCAGTACTGTAAATACTAAAATCTAATTGGTTTAGATGTATATAATAATTTGTAATGTTACCCTCAGCATTAGCAATACACTTGGTTATGGGTAGTACAACAATAATGTCACATGTGTCATTTATGAACGTACAGTTCCTCATAGATTTTTCAAAATATAAGTTGTGCATTTGAAAGATTGAAGCCGAATAAAGCTTTGGTCCAATATAAAGGTTGATTGAAAACAACAAACAACAGACAAAAAATGCTTGTGAGTGCAGACATAATGAAACTTTACATGATAAAGGGCTCTCTGAGTAGCAAACGAACAATAAAGAAGTCATTGAATCTTTCAAAGTTTTCTTCATGAGAAAACAAACCACAAAAAATGGAAGTGGATAGTTTAAAAGCCATTCAAAATATAAACTTAACGAGAATCTTTGAATTTTTATTTTGGACATAATATATATCATGTATATATGAGACATTCAGTGTAATAAAATAAGTAGTGCATGTTTTTGAGGGTAACAGTTAAAATTGCCCCCCTCTGAAAATCATTATCAACCGTGCTGTCAATTTCAACTGCTACCCTAAAGATTTTCTGAGTAATCAAATTTATATAATATAGTATTAAGCAAAAAAATAAATGACCACAGACTCCGTAGGAAACATGGAGGAACCCTTGTAATTTGAAGGATTCAGAAGGAAGCTTGTCCATGAGACCCCCCCCCCCCAATTTTTCTTATGCTCCACCATGATTATGTTAGGGGCATATGGTGTTTGTCATCATGCCCATCTTCTGTCCCTCCATCCTTTTGTCAGTCACATCTGTTAAGATCTGTTTCAAAAAACTAATCAAGGTATTTTTATCAAACTTCATATACTGATACATAGTGATGATGGCTAGTCAGTTGCATCAACATTTTTGACCCTTACCTTTCCTTTGACCTTGACCTTACTTTCCTTAAATTTGTGTTTAGCTCAATTTTAAAGAAACTATTCAAGATATTTTTATCAAACATCATTTGCTGATGCATATTTGTGAGAGTTATTAAACTGCGTAAAAAAAAAATGACTTTGACCTTCCCTTTGACATTGATCTCACATTTCTTAAATTTGCAAATTACCTCAGTTTCAAAGTTTTAAAATAAATTGAGATATTTTTTTCAAATCTCATATGCTGATGCATTTTGGTGATTGCTATTGAGCTGCATCAAACTTTTTTGACCTTGACCTTCCTCTTAAACTTGAGCTCACTTTTCTTCAATTTGCATTTAGCTCAGTTTCAAAGAAACTATTGAAGATGTTTTTGTTTAAACTCATATACCAATACATATTGGTGAGAACTTTTCAACTGTGTTCAGAATGTAAGAGGGGTGATCAAAAAGTTCGCAAACTATCTCTATATTTACAAAACCACAATTCAGATCAGAATGAAATTTGGCACACAAATAGTCATACACATGTTCTATAAATAACATATGTTAAATAATGTTTTGCTCCGTGTTTGTGACGTCACAGTGTGAAAATGACGTCAATATGTAGGTCACTTGTGACAAAAAATGGTTGACTCAGTCGTACTCGAGCAACGAACGGCTGTAAAGTTTAACGTATATCTTGGAAATTCCTTTGCAGTAGAATATGACAATTTGTACAAGGTTTATGAAGACAAAAGACTTACCAGAAGTTCAATCATTAATTGGATTGATTGTTTAAGTAAAGACAGGGAGACGGTTAAAAATGATGTTTGTTCTGTTGCCTAGGGAAAGCAAGCCGGGCAAAAGAAGTGTCCTTAGTTGAGCAATTTTTTATGAAACATCGTCAAGTAACAATTAGAAAAATGGTTGTATATCTTAACAATAACTCTAAAATATCGTTTACTTAAGACTTTAAACATATGAGATATGATAAAAAGAAGGCGCCCATACTTTATCCGCATTGGAAAAACGACTCTCCCGAGACAGATGACTCGGGTTGTGATGGGTCACCATACTAATTGTGGGAAGGGATATCCTTATCCACCCATCCTATTACCGAGATTTGGCCATTTCTGACAGATGGACTGTTTTTGTTATAAAAAATAACTCGCATGGTAAGAAATATAAGACTCGGAAAGATCGTTTTGCTTCTCTGAACAGACTGCTTCGGAGCATGTCAAGTGACTGCCTGGATCACGTGATTCGCGCATGGGCAGAACAATAGCAGATGTGCATTAAAATCGGAGAGGACTACTTTAAAAAATAATAAACACTGAAACTTCATTCTATTTCTTTTAAAGAAGTTATTCAATTAGTTTGCAAACTTTTTGATCACCCCTCATATGACCTTACTTTTCATAATGTTGCCTTTAGTTCATTTTCTAAGAAACTGTTCGAGATATTTTTATGTACAAAGCTTATGTACTGATACACAAGTTGGTTAGAATTTGTCAACTTTGTCCTTTTTTTTTCTTTTACCTTGACCTTCCCAATTACCATTGACTTTACTATTTATTGTGTATAAAACTCACTTTTGAAGAAACTTTTCAAGATATTTTCATCAAACTTCATACACTAATACAATTTTTTGCGTTGCCTTACTAATGAACCCTGGGCAGGGCATTCATGTCCTATGGACATATTTCTCTCTCTCATATACTTTTCAAGAAAATCTTATGTAGATTTTTTTCTTGAGTGGATAGCCCTCTCCACACACACCCCAGGATTCCTTGCTTTGCCCATGTTCTTTGCTCTGTATTTCTATCAGAGGGTCACCATGTTCAGCTTATTATGAACAATCAAATCAATTTAATGATAATTATTAGAAGGACACAGAGGCATTGGTAATGGGTAATGTTTTATGTTTTTCACCCCCCCCCTTTCCGCAAAATAAAAATGGAACCTCAAACAACTTTTACATTGAGATTGTTTAAAAACAAATTGTTAAGGCCAGGGTGACCAATGCAATATATATATATATATATATATATATATATATATATATATATATATATATATATATATATATATATACATGTATATATTATTTGAAATATTACAAAGATATCTGTAGGGAAATGTGCTAGTTATATGTAACCATGGTAACTGGAAGAAAGCTATCATTCATAAATAAGTTTTAAAAATGCTTCCTAATGAAGAGCCCCAAAAACAATACCAGATTTATTTATTATTAGGATTAATAATGTTTGCTTTAAATACAAATTTTAGCTTAATTGTGTAAAGTTGTTTTTCGTTTCTAGATGATAAAGATTATTTTTAAAAAAATGGCAAGTGTGATATTTTCTTTCCCTCCTATGGAATATCAAAGTTACGCCACAGTTGAGAAATGACAATATGACTTAACGAAGCATTTTATAATCTCCTCGGACAAATTGACTTGGAAGAGAGTCAGATAAACAAATGAATGCTGAGCTGTATCAATATGCCTCTAATTCAGATAAGCCTGGACTTAGATATTCTATTCTTGAAGTGTAAAAAATGGGGGTTATATACCTTATACATGTTCCATATTATTAATTCTATGATAAATATTATAGATATTATATGTTTAATACTTATAATTTTGTTTGATTGTTGTTTCATTGTTTTTTGGTTTTTTTTTAATATCTCCTTGGCTTGGTTAACATGTCATGAATGAATCATTACTAAATATAGTTAACGTGTCATGTATGAAAAATAAAGTATGATACTGATTGTCAGTTGACTAACAATTGAAAAAGTTTGTATTAAAGCAAGATATAATAAGTCTCAAAAATCTAATAGTTTTAATATGATTTTGAAAGATATATGTTTTCTTATAATCTTAACAGGTTTCATTTTTATTGTGATTTTGATAGATATCAGAACTTTGTGGAGCCAAAAGACTTGGACACTTTGGCCGGAGTCAGTTTTATATTGCCCTGAAGCTAATAGCTGCCGTTCAGAATGGCTACCCACCAAAATTGGACAGTCTAAATACAGGTAAGGACAAAGTGTTAAAACTGGACAGTCTAAATACAGGAAAGGGCATATTGTATAGTGAACAACAATGGGAAAGTTTTTAATACAGATAAGAAGGAATTGTGAAGTGTTAAACTGGACAGTCAAGGGAAATTCTGTCATCCCTTTAAGTATCCCAGTTAGGTTACTTCCTCCAGAATGACTGGCTTTCATAAGGTCATCGATATGAGGTATCCTTTGCGAATTAATTAAAAAACAATAAAATACTTTCTGTGTTTGTTAATGCAGGAATAATGGTTACTATATTGTAGAAAAAATACATTACACAGGTTATGTTTTTTTTCTTCAATATTTGCACCATTATCCCTGCATTAACAAAGACATTTTATTGTGTATTTGTATAAAGTGGGTGAAAGTGCATAAAATATTATTGGTGACATTGATGGAAGAGCCATTTCTGCAAAAATCTTTCAAACAGATGGCTTTAAAAACTGGTTCTAACTAGTTTAATGTTAATGGATTGATAATGACAATGGGTTTTTCATAAGAAAAGAGAAAATATTTAGTGGATGTAAAGATATGGGTATTGTATTGTCAGAAGAGAGGGAAATTGAGAAATTTATTTTGGCATGGATATCCTAGTATAATAATAAACAGAAATATTTTCAGAAATAGGAAGCAAAGATATATGTTAAAAGAATAAACCAGAACACTTTTGGGGTACAACTACATTTTCTCATCAACAAGGAATTGAGTGTTTCATGTTGAATGACCATGTACAATATGGCCATGTATAATGTATCCACTCAAATGTGAATAGTGACTGTTTATACAACATAAAGACACCAGAATATACTGAAAATATATGATATTGGGTAGATTACTTCTGATGTAAAATGATGCTTCTGATACAAAGTAATGGTGTCAGATGAAGTCAAATAAATAAGAAGTTATGCTAACTATGTCAGAAAGAAAAAGCTGGTGGAATGTTACATTATTGTAACTAGAGAGAGAGAGAAAGGGGAGAGGGTTTTTATGTATTTCATGTTTACAAACATATGGTGCTTTGAGGTTATTTTTTTCTGTACAACCATATGCTCTTTATTTTGAATGTGTAAGAGGTTGTTGAATTGCAGGTCCTTGATGTGTTTGTTGGCATTAATATCAATATTGACTCACTTGATTCTACAAATGTTTTGTTTTTTTCCCCTGAACATGCTGAATGTCTTGCATCCATAGTTTATTAAGGATTTCAGTACAGGTACTTTGTTGAAGGTAGAAAGGGATAAATGCTCTGCTTTCCCAGTAGGCAAGGAGGAAGGGCTTTAAAAATATCTTGGAAAAAAATATAATAATTTTTTGGGGTGGATCCAGAATAGTAGATTTCACCCTTTCACATTTGTAATGTGCATTCAAGTAGAAATGGGACTGTTAATTAAAATGTACACTCTGATTGAAGTCAGGTATATATGTATTTAAGTTTTGAAACTTCTTCAGCCAACAAAGATCTGGTTCTTAATTCTAAGAAAAGTAGTAAATTTATTTTTGCTAGAAATCATATGTAATTTCCATATTTTTAAAAAAAACTTCAAAATTCATTGACTTTTAATTGCTCAAGTATTAAGTGGAGCATATTATATATATATTTTTTAAGGATTTTCAGATCACTTAAAATTGATATTCAAGTAAAATTTAATTATCTGTACTTTACAAGGAAATAAAGAATTGTCAATTTTGATGCTCTCAATTTCTCAGAAAATTATTTTTAGATTTAAATTTTTGACTACAATTTTCAATATTTTTCAAGAAAGCAACCAAGGCAAGATAAGCGAGCCGCATGTAAATAATATTTAAAAAAATTGCTACTGTGGACCAGCAGGTCTGATGATGTACGAGATAGGAATGTAATGCAGGAACATGATTATTTAAAAAACATGGTCTCTGCTTATAACAAAGCATTATACATTTATCTTTGTTTAAGGAGGAGAGCAAATTATGATGTACATTATAGAATGTATATTTTAAACTTTTTAAAGAGGAAATTATTATGAACAATATAATATCTGAAATAACATGTAGAACTAGAACTAAGAATTCTTTTTTTATAGAAATAAGACTTCTTTGATCCTCTATCATTCAGATGGGGGAAAATGTGGCTTGATCAATAATCACATCCCTTTAGAATGATTTATTAATGCTACTGGTCTGATAGTTTTTTTTATCTACATTGTCACAGTGTTCTGAAAGACAGAGAACTTTTAGAGCTTAGAATGACCTAAATTACAGGTCCTAAAATTTGAAAATTTATATCTGCATGGGGTAATGTAATACATTAATATTATATATATTCAAGGATATAAATATGATAAAACCTACTTATATTTAGAAGAACCCCTTAGTTATTTCAATAATACTGAAATCAGAATTATTGCTTGTAAACGAATGAGTACGGAGTAAAAAAAAAAAAACAAAACTTAGTGAATAGAAAATCATTCTTAATTCTTTTTTTCTAAAGAGGTTTGAAACCAGCCTGACTCAAAAGGATTTGGTCACAGTGATCTTTTATCCATATCAGTTTTCATCACATTTTTATCACTGGTTGCTTTGACTTGTTTTAATACCACTGTTGCAGTAAATGATGGTATATAGAATTACAGCATGAATTCAGCTGTGTCTCAAAAGAATTGTACTTATACTGAGGTTGAGATAATTTAGGAATGCCACATAGATATAATTAACAGTCTTACTTATTGAAAGAAAAATGTCACAGAGAACTTTTGGGCTGCCTGTATTGATCTCAGATCTGACAGAAAGTGATGTCAGAAATAAGAAGACAGCAATAGTTAATTAAAAGTATCCTGTGTATGATGAGAGAGTATCTCAAGGTGCCCCCACTGTTAGAAATCAATGATGTTACACTGCAAAAGTATGTCAGCCCCAGCCTTTGTTTTTTGGAGGTGATTATTAATTTACAGCTGAAAGGTAGGGCTTTGTCATGATCCATCTTAATTATGCTAATTATTTTTACAGAAAGATTTTTTTTTATTGTAAGACAGGTAATTTGTTGAAATGTATCATGACTTCTAAAGCTTTTAAACCTAACTATATTTCCTGGCTTGTGTTTAAATTCAAAATTTTTTTCCCCCCATGTTTTCACATTGGACATTTAATGCATCTATAAAATATGAATTTGTCAGTGAAGGAATATTTTCAAGTAATCCTGAACTTTCTTGTCACATCTTCCAATTAGACTTGATCCAAGTATATTTTTGTTACAGCTGACTTCAAAATGTCATTCTAAACCCTACCCTATTCTCTATAGAGAAGTGGACAGGCATAGCCCACATTCACTTCTCTTAATTTACATTGAGGATACACTGGCTATGGCTGTACACTTCCCTGGAGAGAATAAACCCTACCCAACTCCAAAGCTCCACTTCATGCCTCCATTACTAATTGTTAACTATTTCCTGATTTCTGTGGACAAAAGTTGAATGTACTGGTTTCTGTATGGAATGTGATGCCATGTTTTTTAATGGTCCATTCTCAATAATGCTTAACTAAGACTAAGTTCTAATACAGGGAGCAATTGATTTTTTTGTTACGTTTCTCATATGATAAAAAAAAAACATTCAGTCAATAAATACATAAATCGTCCAGTTCCAACTGATTCTAGAAGGTGATTCCTTAAGCTTCAGAGTCTCTATATATCAGTTTTTATAGTCTTGGATAAATGATGGGTTGTGTATAAAAGCTGTAGACATTCAATTTGCTGATGATTTGTTTTTCTACAATATTGAAGTTACTGTGCTTTAATTTATGTCAATGCTGTCAACCCTCCCAACTTTAATGTTCCTGGGATATCATCTTTATCCCCCTTATCTACCTCTTGGCCAGAGGGATTGAGGGTTGATGAGACAGATAGAAGTGTCAGATTTTCTTCCGCTATGATAATAACTAAAGTTTTTTGAATGGAGGCTTTGTATTTTTATTTCCCATGTTTGAAAAGCTATATCTGTATATACACTAATGACAAAAAGAGAATTTTTTTATCAGTGCATGGTCAATAAAAGTTGGAAATATTTATTTTAAGACACAATATTGCATGCTGAATCTTTCAAAGTTTACAGAGAGTATTTTTTTCTTGGCCATGAAGTTAATGTTATGTTATATGTAGATTTTGTCTTGAATCCCCTTCTATTTAAATGCTACAGAGAGAGAGAGAGAGAGAGAGAGAGAGAGAGAGAGAGATTACTAGACTAAGTATTCTTGTATCATCTCTTGAGTTGATATTTAAAAAAAAACTGTTTGAAAATACATGTATAGAGAAATGACTACTTTCTTTTCTATCTTCTAGGGACAGACATGCCATTACCGAAATTCACTAGGACTGCTGACCAAGGTAATCTAATTGTAACAGAACCTTCAGATAAAACTCAGACAGTTTAGTGTTTCATGTATGAAAAATATTGATGTGATCATTGATTAAATGTCCCAGTGGAGAGAAAGGAACTATTTATTTGTTTGAGTTACGTAACTAGTAAACTGCAGTATTCAAATGTCCATTAAGTCAATACACATTATTTTGAAAAACCAGCAGAGATGAAAAGACAGCGATGCAATTCCAAAATAAGTTACAATCTGAATCTGTATTTATTTACCTGTAACATACTGTTTGAACATAATTTGGAGAAAAAAAATGTGTGCTATTAGAATCAAACTATTTTTATGCCCCGCCATGAATATGGCCGGGGCATATAGTGTTTGTCATGTCCGTCTTCCGTCCTTCCGTCCTTCCGTCCTTCTGTCCTTCCGTCTGTCCTTCCGTCACACTTTGCGTTTAGCTCTGTTCAAAGCTCAGTTTCAAAGAAACTATCCAAGATATTTTTATCAAACTTCATATGCTGATAGATATTGATGAGGGCTATGCAACTGCATCAACATTTTTTGACCTTGACCTTTCCTTTGACCTTGACCTCACTTTTCTTAAATTAGTGTTTAGCTCAGTTTTAAAGATACCATTCAAGATAGTGTAATCAAACTTCATATGTTGATACATACTGATGTAAGCTATTCAATTGCATCAACATTTTTTTGACCTTGACCTTTATTTTGACCTTGACCTCACTTTTCTTAAATTAATGTTTAGCTCTGTTTTAATGAAACCATTCAAGATATTTTTAACAAACTTCATATGCTGATACATACTGATGAGAGCTATTCAACTGCATCAATATTTTTTACCTTTACCTTTCCTTTGACCTTGACCTCACTTTTCTTAAATAAGTTTTTAGCTCAGTTTTAAAGATACCATTCAAGATAGTGTTATCAAACTTCATATGCTGATACATACTGATGAGAGCTATTCAACTGCATCAACATTTTTTGACCTTGACCTTTCCTTTGACCTTGACCTCACTTTTCTTAAATTAGTGTCAAACTTCATATGCTGATACATACTGATGAGAGCTATTCAACTGCATCAATATTTTTTGACCTTGACCTTTCCTTTGACCTTGACCTCACTTTTCTTAAATTAGTGTTTAGCTCAGTTTTAAAGAAACTATTCATAATATTTTCATCAAACTTCATATGCTAACACATACTGATGTAACCTTTTCAACTGCATAAACATTTTTTGACCTTGACCTTTCCTTTGACCTTGACCTCACTTTTCTTAAATTAGTGTCAAACTTCATATGCTGATACATACTGATGAGAGCTATTCAACTGCATCAATATTTTTTGACCTTGACCTTTCCTTTGACCTTGACCTCACTTTTCTTAAATTAGTGTTTAGCACAGTTTTAAAGAAACCATTCATAATATTTTCATCAAACTTCATATGCTAATACATACTGATGTAACCTTTTCAACTACATCAACATTTTTGATCTTGACCTTTCCTTTGATCTTGACCTCACTTTTCTTAAATTAGTTTCTGAATCAAACGTCATATGCTGATACATACTGATGTAAGCTATTCAACTGCAGCAATATCTTTTGACCTTGACCTTTCCTTTGACCTTTACCTCACTTTTCTCAATTTGTGTTAAAATGTTGCATTACTAATATACCCTTGGCGGGGCATTCATGTCCTATGGACATATTTCTAGTAGTATTAAATCTACATATATATTTATTGGTAACTTTAATTCGAATACCAGTTAAAACTAAAATAATCTGCTAAAAGCAGGTGCATTTTACTATCAATAAAAACAGTGCATGTACCGGTATCTATATGTAACTTATTTAAAGAAACAGCTGGAGCTTTCAGGAAAAAATACTTTTATGAAAAATTAAGCTTTTATAATCCATGTTTTTATTTCAAAATAATTAATTTCTCAGACTCCACCTAATGAAATTACATAAGATACTTCTCTTAATCGCGTTAATTACCATCGTTTTAATGGTTTTCTTTTTCAGAATAACTGTCTTAAAAATATCAGGAAAAAAAAATTAACAACTTGTTTGTGGAGAGATTTGAAAAAATGCATTGTTCTTGATCTGTGTAGGAGCATGTGTGCTTGATTTGATCAAATTATTTTTGTCAAAATCACTTCCCTGATAAACACTTGTCTGCTTTCTTGCTATCTTCTTAAAAGTCTCGGTCGTTGGACAAGTAGACTATAAGTATATTCACAAGCACATTAAGTACCTAAGAACCCTGTAGACTGAATTGTAAATGTAGCCATGATTTAGCCATGCTAAGAGCTTACATAACTTCACAGTGATAAATTAATGACATAATACACAAACAGAGGGTAAACAGAGCAGTATCAATCATTGACAGGTGCTTGGTACCTGTGTATGCTTCTTATATACCCAGGCAGTATACCGACCATTCTAGATCATAGACATGTGATTAAATTGAACAATGTAGTCATAAAATTTTAATCTTACAGATGGACTCACTGTTGATAGATCTTTCTAATTCAAGAAACAAGTCACAATGAAATAAATCAATTTCAGAGAAGCTTTGATGTAGGTAAAATCAATGTTGGAGAATATTGTTCTGTTAGTCAGGTGTATGTAACATATTTATCTGACAAAAGTAGCATACGTTACTACAATGTACATGAATATGAACTGGAAAGAGACTTTATAAAAGTTTTTTTTTTTTTACATATTGTTTCATATATATAAAAGCAATGATTTTTTGAAAAGTTTGGGTTTTTTTTATAAGAATCTATTTATGTATAGCTTTTTTAAAAATGTTTTTCAGAGAAGAGATTACACAATGCAGTACCAGGTCAAGATACAGAAAGGTATGGTGAACAAAGGGACTTAATCCAGGTCACTGCCATTAAACTCTAGATTTCACATCAACCTTATTAACCCAAATTATGACTTCAATCACTTATTAAGAATTGGAATTGATTTTTGTCACAATCAGTGATTACCTTTTCCGAAAAAAGAGTTCTGTCCTATAGTATTTCTTTCCTAAAGAGGGAAAAAAATTCTTTACATCATATTGTCTTTAAAATATTTCATTACAATTTTAACTCTGAGGATGTAACAAACTACTGGGTAAAATCAAAATCATTTATAAATTCGTTTTGGACAATTCATAAATTTGGGCATCTTGGTCAAAAGAAGCATGTATTTGGTTTATGCATTTTTTCTGTAAACACAGTTTACACCAAATTGTGAACTTTGTGAATCATTAGATATTGTCTGACAAACATGATAAAATGAACAGTATGCTGATGGTACAACACTTATTGCAGTATGTTAAATGTAGTTTTAATAGTAAGGGAATGATTCACTTCATTTCAAAATTGATAGCAAGTCTGATTTCATTATGGAAGATTTGTGAAAACAATTACAGAACAATTTTCATTTCTTACAAATTCTGTCTTTAAATGATTACATGTCTGCAGTGATAAATGGACTCCGAGGTAGAATCTTCCTTGTGTTGGGGAGGAAAACAATTTTTCACTGTTGATGATGTAATAAGGTTACACTTCTCTGGCAATTTTGTGCAATGAGATTTGTCACAGAATTTAATTTCATGAGTGGTGACTCAAAAATTAGATATTTAAACTAATTTAAGAATATAATTGTTTTGAGAAATGAAGTTTGAAATGTTGAACATGAAATAATTTGTCAAGTACATTGAAGTTTTTACCCAAGCAAATAAAGAAAGGAATTATGATTGATTTATGATATGACAATTACTGCAAGTAGTGCCAGGTTTCAATCAGCTGAATTAGTCAGGGTTTTTTTTCCATTCCAAGAGATAAGCAATAAGCATGGTAATTTTTTCAAGCCTTCAGATAGAATATACTTCATCCAACAATTCCCTTATAAACAACTAAAATATGAATAAATACAAACACTGAAACTAAACGAATTGTAGTTAGCACATATGTATAGATTGCTATGAATAGTATTTCATTGTTTAAATATTTAAATCCTGATATCCATAGAAGAATGTATCCATTATCATAGCCTATTTGGTACATCTTTGTAGTCTTCATTTGGACATCCTGATTACATTTATTATAGGCTGATATTGAAGTCTGGGATCAATATAGGATGTAGATTAGGCTATTTGATTTTCTCAATAGATAGTAAGTACAATGTATACTCTTTAATTTCATTGTTTCAGACACTCACAACAGTCAGTTCCAAACCAGCAAGCAGTGGGACAACTACCACCACCTCCTGCATCTAAAAAATCCCACATGCGGTCCCAATCGGGGCAGTTCAGAGGGATGGTGGACAGAGACCAAGGACCGCCCAATCCTACTGTGATATCACAGACAAGTGGCACCCATCAGGTAAAAAAGTCAAAATTCACCCCATTCTCTATACTCCCCACCCCCACCCTCTTAAATGAAAGTAGAGAATTTAGACTAATATTTTTGTTCAGTGTAAAAATGAATAATCCATCACAGGTATTTTGATTGTAAAATGATGAATGCTTTTTTGTGAATTAAAAGTCAGAAGAAGAGATGTCTGTATTATTTGGAACTTGGAATTCTTTCTTGTGTAATGAACAATGCTGTTTTCCTTATTATCCATCTTCAATAAGGTTAATAAAAAAAAATATGATTTTTTTTTTACTATAATTAAGATAATAACATTTTGTTTCAGGCATTGAATAGTGAGGAATCATCAAGTGTCACTACATCCCCCAGACAATTTATTTCTCCTCCCCAGTCCCCTCCCTCCTCTCCACCAGTCACAAACAATATCCAATCAGCTACCAGCATTCCCTCAGCCAATCAGAACAGTTTACATGGTCATATGGCATCCCCAGTGGCCAATCAAATCCATGGAGCACAAGTGATGAATTCATTACAGACAGGTGCTCCTACTGTGATTACAGGGACTGCCCCCACCAACATTCACGCTGGGCACCACCATCACCACCACCACCAACAACAACACCATAAAAGCAGTTCCAACTCTACACATGAACTCCTAGAAGGGTGGGCCTCTTTTGAAGAAGATGAACATGCAGGTTTGTATCTGGTTGGTTGTATCACTGCTGTATGAAAGCAAGCACTGATTCCCATTTTGTTTTTACTACAACAAATACAGTAACTGTTTGGGTCCATTTACTTACTGTACTAAAGAAGATTAACGTTTTGTCATACTGTTTACATACTGTTTTATCTAAATACCATTGAACTAAAATTTTATGTGAATGTTTTATTGTTTAAAAAAAAGTAGTCTTTGCTAATTTACATGATTAATTTGAGGTTCATATTTGTTAATAAAAAAAAATGAATGAAAGTATGTTTCATGTTTTCATGTCAAAGAATTTAAAAATTGTATAATAATGCCTGAGTCTGTAATGTCAAGGACATACACTGTACATACTAACAGGGTATGCAACTCCTTCAACACTATGTTTATTCGTCCAAAACCTCACAACACTGCAAGTTTTTCAAACTACATTTATTCCCGTTGAAAAGTTTGTTTTCAGATAAACTTAATCTATTTGTTTTGTTTATTGGAATGGATTTTTTAAAATAAATTTGAAAGCATACATTGTATAATAATTTAAATATAAAGCAAATACCCATCTAATTTTTTTGAATTCTCGAAAATACGGTCAATTAGAGGCCCGTTGAATTTAATGTACAGCATAATTATACTGAGATAAGCAGTATAAACAGTGCCAACAACAAAACTTGCATAATTTTCTGTACGATA